AAAGGCTATCCGAAGTTCAAATGGGGAACATCACCCTTTGCACTGAATTTATCGGCAGTACAGTTGGTGGATGGTATGTCGTAAATGAGACATCCATGTCCGATCATAGGCAGATTAGGTTTGATATCATGGTCTCCGGGGGCCTGGCGGAAGAAATATATCGGGTGCCCCAATCCACAGATTGGAGTCAATTCGAAACGCTCCTCATGGATGGGATTGGATCCGTTCCTGCTTCTGTCAGAACGGTGATGGATATCGAACTGGCCAGCGAGGCCCTGACGGTGGCTATTACTAATGCCTATCACGGGAGCTGCCGCGCTAAGCCGAGGCGGAGCAATAGGAAGTGCCCGTGGTGGAATGAAGAGCTTTCAAGGCTTAGACTAAAGACCAGAAAGCTATTAAATAAGGCCAAGGCGTTGGGTTCGAGGGAAGAGTATAAAGACTCACTCACAAAGTACAATAAAGAAATTAGGAAAGCGAAGAGAATCTCGTGGAGGGCGTTCTGCAAGGGCATTGATGAACTCTCCAGCAGTGCGCGTCTTCACCGGGTGCTTTCCAAAAAGTATGCTAGCGGGTTGGGTTTAATGGAACGTCCTGATGGCTCCATGACTGAGAACGGAAAGCAGAAGTTGGAGCTTATGGCGTCAATGCACTTTCCTGACTCGGAGACTCTTCGGAATCACTCAAATGCGGTCATCGAACCGAGGGCATCCTGGTCCAGGAGGGATGACTGGCAACGATCCCGTCTAGTCTTCACGATGGGCAGGATTACATGGGAGTAGGTATTCTGGCACTCTGGGATGGGAAAAAATCAGCCCATATCGCACGACCCACTTTCACTTTCTTATTTCCTGGTACAGGTAGATGACCTGCTAAAGTGTGTCATGACCTGTATAACTGGTATTGACCTTTTGAAGTATATAGGTGATACGAGTTTAATTATACGTTTTTAGGAAGTAAGAAGTTTTAGGAAGTTGGGCTGAGAAATTAAGTTACGAGCTGAGGAGTTGTCTGGTTTAACAGGTCATTAATCTTGTTTACAGAATGTTGTTTACTTGTCGAGGTCGTGTATTGCTCGACTCATATAGATTGAAAATATATTTTATGTAATGGGATATCAGGAAAGAATAGAAAGCTAAATTTATTTTTCTATAAGGATGATATGTGGTTATGTAATTATTAGAGGTAAAAAGAAGAAAAAAGAACATGCATGTAAGAATTACGCATAAGAATAAAAAATTCTTGGTGCAATGATATAAACGCATATTATTATTATTATAACGTACTTATATTTATTTTTAGAATCTGAAGAGACGAAAACAAAAAATATGCTTATAAGACTTGCGCATAAGAATAATAAATAGGAAAAGATTCAGAGTTACCTTTATAAAGCATTTGTTTTTGTTTTGTTTTTGTTTTGCTGTTCTTGTTTTGTTTTCGCGTTAAAAGAGGTAAAAGAAATAATCTTATGATGCATATACCTACATATTTGAATAATATTTTTATTTAAGGTCAGAAAATTAAATAAAAAGAAAAAAGAAAAAGTGCTGGAGGTTTAAAAATATTATGTAATAGAAGAATATATAACATAGAACTGTATTTTTAATAGTAATTACCTGGTTTTGATTATGAAGCTGTTAAGTGGAACATAAAAAGTTCTTTATGTAATAATACGCATATATTATATAACATACTTACTTTTATTTTTTATATGTAAAGAACCAAAAATAAAATATGATATGCACATATGTATATATTATGTATAATGTACAACATAGCTTAAGACCTAAATATAAGTGAAAAGAACACGCCTGTAGATAAGAATTACGGATAAGAAAAAATTAAGATGTAGGCACCTATGAAATTTTTGTTGTAATAATTATTATACAACATCCATATGTACGTAGGTCTAGTTACCTTTTATTTTAAATCTGAAAAGACTAAAATGAGCTGTAATAGAAATTCTGAAAAATTTGAAAAATTTTTAAATAACAAAAAACTTCTTATTTATTATAAAAATTTTATTTTTATTTTTCATTATACTTAATCGTTACTTATAAAAACTAAAAACTACTTGAACTTAGTTCTAAATTTCCATGCTTATTTTTTTTAATTAAAAATTTGTTTGAATTTGCCATTTGGCAATTTTCTTCTTTTTGTGGAAATAAATCCACATATTTTAACGGCATGAAAATAAAAAAGGATTGGGTGATAAACACCCAATAAATTTTCCCCTTTTGGGATATTTTTTTTTCTACACCATTTAAGGCGTAGATTTTATCTGTTTCTATTTCGGAAACAGTTATATATTTTTTTGAAAAAAAAATTTGGTGTTCATTAAACGCGTTAATAAACAATAGTTCCGATTGTGATTGTTGGTGTTGTGGTTGTTGTTGTTGTGGTTGTTGTGATTGTTGTTGTTGTTGTTGCTGTTGTGGTTGTTGTTGTTGTGGTTGTTGTTGTTGTGATTGTTGTTGTTGTTGCTGTTGTGGTTGTTGTGTCATATGCATCCATGGTGCAGCTTCATTCTTTTGCGTTTTGGTGGAACAACTGTCTGACAGTCCGTTACCACAGCGTTGTATGGAGTAATGAACTCCTGCAAAATAAGATCAACCTCGGTTGGTTCCATTTTGAAAACTGATAATGTTGGTAGAAATTCTCTCAGTATTTATTCAACATTTAACAGGATATAATTATTACATATTTTTGTAAAATTGTAAATTAATTAAAAATTCTTACAAAAAGGTAGATATAGAATAATTGTTTTCTTTCAAGATAGTACAAAATAATCTATTTATAAATCTACTATGAAAAAATCTTACAAAAAAAAGATTTTCAAATGGTCATTTTTTTTTACACTTGTCTTCATTCTCTGTTTATAATAGAAATCCTATTTTTAATAAAATGTTTTATCAATTGCAACATTTAACAGGATATAATTATTACATATTTTGTAAAATTGTGAATTAATTCAAAATTCTTACAAAAAAGGTAGATATAGAATACTTGTTTTCTTTCAAGATAGTACAAAGTAATCTATTTATAAACCTACTATGAAAAAAGCCTGCAAAAGAAACAAGTTAAATTAATAGATCTATCATTTTTATAGCTCCTTTTTCATTCTCAATTTTTAATAGAAATCCTATGTTTAATGAATTATTTTGTGTATGCAAAATTATACGATTACAGCCTGTGACAGGTAGTATTTTATAATTGTTACAATGTTGAAGATTATTTATAATAAAAACATTGATCGTTGAAATGAAAGAAACATTATAATAAGAGTAAAAACTTCTATTTCTATCATTTTGCTAGGAAAAGTCATTTTAAAAACCACATAGATAATGTCGAAAAAAGTTATTTTACAAAAATTTTTAAATTCGAATCGCTATACAATTGAAAGTGATTATATAACAATTATCAAGCGTTTTAAGGTACGTGGGAGAAAAATAATATTTAAAATAAATCCAATACCCACCAATGAAGACCCGATTCCTTGGGTAAGGGAAGCTGTGGAAAAAATCATTAAATATGTATTACAAAACCTGACAAAAAGTGACATGGTCGGGTTGACCTTTTGTGGAGAAAGTTTTCAACACCGCGGTCCTGCGTGGCTTGCTTATAGGCCAGCTGAAAGTTTAAAATTTGAAGACGTATGGGATATAATTTCAAAAATTTTTCAAAGTAATTCCGAGGGTAAGTTGTTACTACATTTTGATTTTGTATTACGAGTATCTTTTTTATTACATAATTTTTTTTGTTACACGTTTAAATACGGACAATTTTTGTGTGACAGTAACACATGTCAGTCTACCTGTTGGTAGAGGAAGGCCCAAGAAATATAACAATTTTGTTGAGGAATGTAAGCAACGAACTGGAATAATTAGTATTAACAATAAAGATAACTTATGTTTGCCCGTGCTCTAATTACCGCTATTGCCAAAATAGAAAATGATGTAAACTATCAAAAAATTCGACGAGATGTAAATAAGCAACAATTAACAAAAGCCCAAGAATTGGTAAAACAAGCTAACGTCATAATTCCCGTACTCGGCTGTGGAGTAACAGAATTAAAACAATTTCAAAGTTATTTAAATAATTACAAAATTGTTGTTTATGAATATGGAGGTGGTGGTAGAGATATGATATTTGAAGGGAGTAATCATGGTAAAAGGATCAATTTATTACATTATGATGACCATTTTAATGTAATTACCTCTCTTACTGCGGCTTTTTGCTCTTCATATTATTGTGAGGAGTGTAATATTCCGTATCATGGAAAGAATGACCACAGATGTTCTCGTATATGCCCATGTTGTCAACAATTACCAGAATGCCGATCAAATGGAAACAATATTTTATGTAAAGATTGCAACAGACTGTTTCGAAGCCCTATTTGCTTAGAAAACCATAAAGCATCGGGTTCAAAAAGCAAAAGTAGTTGTGATGAAGTGAAAAAATGTTTAAGTTGTCTTAAGACATATAAATCTAATCGACAACATATTTGCGGGGAATCATTTTGCAAAACCTGTAATATTCATGTTAGTCAAGGACATCTATGTTTTATTCAAAAAGACGACAAAGAACCATCATTAAGCAACTTTATTTACGTGTTTTACGATTTAGAAACACGACAAGGAAAAAAAATTAGTGAAAATGAAAGACTTCACGAACCAAATTTATGTGTGTTATCTCAGAGATGTGATAGTTGCATCGATGAATCTAAATTGTTGTTTTACCAAAAATGCAAATGTAGAAGTAAAATAATTAAAGAAAAAGACGTTATTGCCAACTTTGTTTTACATTTGTTAGCATTGAGAAAGCTTTTTAAAAAAATTATTGTTATAGCTCACAATGGACAAGCGTTTGATCATCAGTTCATCTTAAATTATATATTACAGGAAACTGTATTAAAACCTAAATTAATCATGAGAGGAACCAAAATTATAATGATGTTAATTGACAACATAAAATTTCTAGACTCGCTAAATTATTTTCCAATGGCTCTCTTCGAACTACCGAAAGCTTTTGATTTACCATCAAATTTTAAAAAAGGATACTTTCCATACAAATTTAACACCATAAAAAATGCGAATTATGTTGGCCTTTTACCAGCAATAGAATACTACGGGGCAAACAGCATGAAACCAAAAGAACGTGACATATTTCTGCAATGGCATGAAAATCATAAAAATGATGTTTTTAATATGCAACGTGATATTATTGAATACTGTTTTTATGATGTTGTAATATTAAGAGAAGCCTGCCTTAAGTTTCGAAAATTGTTCATAACTGAATGTAATGTGGAACCGTTTTTAGAAGCCACAACTATAGCATCAGCCTGCAATTTAGTGTTCCGGAGAAATTTTCTTAAGTCCAATACTATCGGGCTGATTCCTAAAAATGGATATAGATATGCAGATAATCAGTCAAAGCATGCTATACAGTGGCTGGTTTTTGAAGAGGAAAACCGTAAAATCAATATTCAACATGCAGTTAAAGAACGGGAAGCTATAGTGGCCGGTGTTAAAGTAGACGGTTATTGCCAAGAAACTAATCAAGTTTTTGAGTTTTACGGATGCTATTTTCATGGGCACCCCTCTTGTCTACCACATAAACGTGACAAACCTTTGTACGATGATTTAAATGATACTCTAAATCACCGCTATGCAAGAACAATTGAAAAAAGTAGCCGATTAAGAAATTTAGGTTACGAAGTTGTGGAAATGTGGGCTTGTGACTTTGAAAGTTTGCTAAGTACAAAACAGAAAGAGCATTTAAAAAATCACCCATTAGTAAACTGTACCCTGTTATATCCTCGAGATTCATTTTATGCTGGTCGCACAGGAAATACATTTAGTTACTATAAGTGCAAACATGCAGAAAAAATAAATTATATTGATGTGTGTTCCTTATATCCATATGTATGTAAATACGGAAAATTCCCTATTGGACATCCCAAACTCCATATTGGAAATACTAAATGTTATTCATTAAATTTACAAAACCTAAATGGTCTCATAAAGTGTAAAATATTGCCACCTGAACGTTTGTATCATCCGGTTTTACCGCTGAAGAAAAATAATAAATTAATGTTCACGTTATGCCGTTTATGCAGCGAACAAAGAAATCAAAATAAATTTTGCACACATTCAAATGATGAAAGAGCCTTAACGGGAACTTGGGTTATCGATGAAGTTATTAAGGCTCTAGAAAAAAATTATACGATATTGGAGACGTATGAAATATGGGAATACGACGTATCACAATATAATAAACTTAAAAACGCTGAAGGATTATTTAGTAAAATGATGGATAAATTTTTAAAAATAAAACAAGAAGCTTCAGGGTGGTCCAGCAAATGTTGTACTAAAGATCAAAAAGAAAAATATATTGAAGATTTTTTGCAAAACGAAGACATACAGCTCGAATATGAAAAAGTTTTGAACAATCCTGGGTTACGATCATTTGCCAAATTTATGTTAAATTCATTTTGGGGTAAATTCGGACAAAGATAAAACTTACAAAAAACAAACATTATAAATGAGCCATTTGAGTTGTATGGGATGTTAACTAATGCAGCAATAGAAGTATGCCACATTTTACCTATAAATGAAAGAAATATTGTTATTAACTGGCAATACAAAGAAGAGGTAACAGAATCTTTATCAACTGTGAATGTCTCTATTGCTGCATTCACAACCGCACAAGCCCGTCTAAAATTGTACACATACTTGGAAAAGCTAGATAATCGAGTTTTATATTACGATACAGACTCAATATTTTACATAAGTCGTGAAGGTGAATATGAACCCCATACTGGAGAGTTTATAGGGGATATGACTAATGAATTAGAAGGCTATGGCCAAGGTAGTTATGTTACAGAATTTGTAAGCGGTGGTCCAAAAAATTACGCCTATAAGGTTTTTTCTACAAAAGATAATTCTGAAAAAGTGGTTTGTAAGGTGAAAGGAATTCGCTTAAACTACGATGCTTCACACAAAATCAATTTTGAAACGATGAAGGAAGCTGTTTTAAATTTAAACAATTTTGAAAATATTTCCATACTTTCTGACAATATTCGAAGAACAAAAGAACATGAACTCATTACGGTGTCTGAAACCAAAACATATCAACCAAAATCCGAAAAGCGAAGATTTTTGCCTGATTACAGTTCGTTGCCATTTGGTTATAAAAGAAGAAAAATAACTCAATAAATAGTCATGTAATTTTATAAAACTAAATTTATTATAATAAAATGTACAAGTAATTTCAAATTAAGTCTTTTTTATTAATCCAGCTGTTTACTGTCAAATCCCAACCACTTTACAAAAATTTTATTGCCCTGTTTTTTTAGGATTTTTTCTACTAAATAGGCGTCAGAAATTTTAACAGGTGTTAATTCAGGTTCATAAAATTTACCAGATATATCATTACTCTGATAATCACGCAACTCATAAGTAACTGGATATGTATTATGTACTTTAATAACTTTAAAAATTTCAGTAGACCAATTTGCATTATAACCTTTTTCAAATATTCCTTTATATTTACTTATCCTAACATAGTCTCCTACTTTATATTTATGTTTTTGAAAAATTTTAGGCTCTGCATAAAATTTTTTTAAAATAAATTCTTCATTTTCTTTTTCTTGGTTTTTCTATGGGGGGTTGAGTTATATATTTTTAATAAAGACGGTAATATAGTAATCCATTTGTAACTACCCTGATCAAATTTTTTAAAGTACGATTAAAGCGTTCTACAATAGACGCCTTAAGATCCGAAAACGTATGGTAATGATTAATTCCTTTCTCCCGCATATAATTTTTGAATTTGATATTAAAAAATTCTTTCCCTTGATCTGAATGAATATTTTTTGGTACAGTTTTACTTCGTTTTATAATTGTTTTAAAAGCTTGTAAAACATTATCAGCAGTTTTATTTTTTACAGGTTCAGCAAATGCGTGCTTAGAAAAGGTATCTATAACAGTTAACATATATTTTTTGCCCTTATTAAACTTTGCATAAGGAATCATTTCAACTAAGTCAATTTGCCATGTATCATTTAAACCTTTTTGTAGAAATCTTCTCCTCTGGTAATTTTTTCGAGCCGGTCTATGAATTTCTGACACTATTTGAGCTCTTGACATATTTTTCGTACCAATTAATCAATTTTGCAACTTCAATTTTGTATTTTTCTATTGTATGGCATTCACAAGTATCAGGTCCAGATGTAGTATCGTCGTACGCCCAAGGGCAAATAGTAAAATGGCTTCCGTGTATCGAACTAGTTAATTGTAATTTATGTTTAAATGTTTTTAAGTAATTGTTTAAATATAAAATTTGATTCTTATGTTCTTCTAAAATAACAGAATCATATACATTTAAAAACTCGTTGACATCCATTTTTAAAATAAGAAAAATAAAAAGGATTCGATTATTTATATAAGCCGTTGCAGCTCAATAAAAATGAACAAAGTCAGTATTTTTATATTTAAGCATGATTCAAATAAAAAACTTTAGTATACATCAATTTATAATCGTAGCAGCATAACTGTAACAAATTTTCCAGTTTTACTAAAGAAATAAAATGGATACTCAATCACCAAGAGCGGATGGGGCTTCAATTATGTTCAATAATGAAGAAGAACCAATTCAGATACCAAATTCATTTTGCTGGAATTGCTATAAATGTCTTATGCTGTATATGGTATTTTTATGTTCGCTTTTTATTATTTTTACAATTACTCATGTTTTAAATAACACAAAAATAATGTAAATAAAAGAAAAAATAAAATACAAGTAACATATTAGTCTAGTAGCATAGTGCTTTTATTTATTTCTAAATATTTTTTTATCTTATTTTTAAACGGAATTTCATAAAACAATCTAGAATAATTACATTGAAAGTTAAATCGATCTAATGATATATAAATTTCACTTTTTAGTATGATTTCATTGTTTTCTACACATTGTCTTATATATTTCCTTACATAGTCTTTTACACCTTCTTCAGCCTTGTGGTTGTAATCCATTACCAAATGAATAAAATCAATTAGGATATGAAATTCATCCATCTCTTCGCTCCTTAACACGAAAGTTTGTAAATTTTTTGTTTTTATTCCAAATTGTAGACAAGAGACCTTGTTATTTATAAATTTTTTTTTATACTTTGTTTGAAATTGCTGATTAAATTCCACCCAATCTTCATAATTTACAAAAATTTCCTTTTTTCCAATACGGTGTATTGAAATGGTTGCTTCTAATAATTCTACGTGGAATCCTATTACTACTTTTACAGTATGTGTTTTGTTTAAAAAATAAGTATATGCCAACAACATGTTTTAAGAAACACTGATTAAGTAATGCTGATCTAGCTATCTGTTTTTAAACTGCATTTTAATTGAGACATTTCATCTTTTATATAACACGATTTCTAGAAACACATCTCTGAATATTCTGCTTTCCAAATATTTTGTGAAATTTTCTTAAAACTATTTGATCATTTTTAATACGGTTGCGTTTCTTAAATTCACGTAAAAAATTATTCATACTTATACCAAAACATCTATACCATGCATACACGCAACAGTATTCTCCACAAACTTCTGAAAAGGTGCTTTGTAATTGTTTGTCATTGAAAACAATACATTTATCTTTTAAAAAACTTAAAATTTCCTTTTTATTTGGTAAACCTCCATAAGAATCAAAGTATTCAACACAACCATATTTTGGAATATATATGGCTAACCAATGTTCGCCAGGATCTATTGCTTTATCAGTATTTATAATTATAAGGGAAGATCTTTCAAGGTTTTTTGGTATTTGATCTAAAGCAAATACACCTCTAAATTTTTTTCTTGTATATTTATTGCAATTTAAATATTTTATAATATCTAAAGTATTCATAAATTTAATCCACTTAAATCATAAACTGTACTGTTTTCTTTAATGTAATGCGAAATGAAATCTTTTTTGATTTTTCCGTTAGTCAATATCACATTGAATTTTTTTAATATTTCTTTAAGTTCATAGCTTATATTGTCATTAATCAAAGTTCTAAACGAATAGTTTTCAAAATTTTCATATATTAGTTCCTTAGTTGGAAATTTGTAACAAAACTCCTTTACAATTTTTTTGCATTTTTCTTGAATCCCAACTAAGCAAATATCTTTTACAAATAAGGTATTCTTGTCGTCACAACAAAACGTTATATCACCAAGTGCATAAGACGATGACATCATCTTGAATATTAAAACCATTTATGTAATTGTTCTATTTATAGGTTTGTGAAAATATTTCTATTTTTGTCAATTTCAACACTTGCATCAAATTCTCCATAGACAATAGCAGTCAATACAGATGATTGCGCTTTAGATAACCTTGCCTCAATTCTAATTGTACCTTGATTAAATAGACCCTGACATATCTCATTTCCTGATGCATCTGGTGTCAAATCGAAAGCCAAGATGAAAAATCCACTACTAAACATAGATTTTGATATTTGATGTCCTTTGTCATTATGATAAATTCCTGTACCAGAGAAAAGTGTATGGTATGCACGAGTATGACAATTATTTTCATCTGAAAAACTTGTTTCAATTGCTGTGTTTGGTACTTGTACACCATTTACAAACAATACAAACTGGGACATATCAAAATGTCGAAAATTATATGGATTTTTTGATCTTTTTCCAGAGTAGCCAACATTTTCTGTAAGGCAAAAAATTATGGTGTTGGGTAATTGCCCAATGAAGACATTATCAAGTGAAATAGTTGATGTATTAGAAGGAATTGTAAAACTTTTTACTTCAACACGTTTGTAATTGTACTTGGCATTAGATTTTTCTAGAACAGCATTATGGGCTAGTAGCACACTTGGGTTTATTGTTACGTGCTTCATAAATAATGTAGCTTCCAAAATTTTTAACTGAGATTCATCAGCGTCGTCTACAAAAATATAAAAATCTGGTTTTTCAAGTGTTAAAGAAATTCTCACATCAACGTTGTTTATTAAAAGAGTCGATTGGTTAAACATATCCAAATGTAGTTAAACCATTAGCTCTACGATATTGCTGTTGTGATAAAGTTTTTGACGTTCTTTTGATCCATTATTATCTGGTTTTGCTATGTTTGGTTTATCTAAACACCATCCAGCACACTCTAAATGAGTAGTAGCGGCATCCGTACCATAATTTAATAATGATTCAATGTATGCTCTGTAATGATAATTTCCATCTGACGGGGTAATACTTTTTACGTTAAATTGAACATTACACTGTTTTATTATTGAGTGTAGAAGATTATTCACTACACTTGGTTGGGGCAATGTTTTTCCGTCGGCACCTTTGTCGTTATTCCAACGGTTTCCATCTTTTTTAACAATTTGTACCTTTAATCTAAGATATGTAGAAGATAAATCTCTGTATGTATCACCATGACCTAATGAGACAAATTCAATAGTTGATGGATTATCTAAAGAAGCAATAGGATTGTATGAAACTTCTTCAGATCTTGA